CACAGTGGGTCCAGGCTGGCAGGAAAAACCTTACTCCTTACAGACATCTAGATGTCTGAGCCTCCGTTCCCTCATCTGTAAAAGGGACATCACCTTGGCAATGGTGCTCAGGAAACTGGCGAGCATTAAAGTCAGTGCCACATATAGTCAGTGTGACCTCCACATTCAGGTCCTCTATCTGAGGGTTAGGGCTCCTGTGTATGGCAATCTTGACCACAGGTAAGGAGGTTAAGGTGATCTATTTGTGATCCCAATCTCCCTTTCCTCTCTATGAGTTGACTGAATGGGCTGTCCTGGCATGCATTAGCGACTAGGGAAAGTGATAGAGAGAGGACACGACTCTGTCATCAGTTGTAGATTCTGACCAAGTGGCACCTGTGACTTCTCACCTCCAGCTCAGCCTGACCAGGGAGGTTGCACAGTAAACTGGACTGCTCCTCTTCATGGCCTCAGCAGGACTTGGTTCCACACCGGGACTACAAAGTGTCCTACCTCATAGTTGGCATTTGCTCCAGGAGGTCGCCCTGCTGTGCCCAGCCTGGACTTCCCTTAAGTTAATGCCTTCCTTACACCATGTGACCCCACACTTCCTGAGTCCTGGGGTAGAGAACACACTTTTATCATATAGTTCTGGGCACCATCAAAGTGGCTTCATCTCCATGAACACCCAAGGCAGTGGGAGGCTGCCAAGTTAACTCCAGGTTGTGTCCCCAGGGTGCCTAGTCATCTCACCCAGTGGCTGTGGGTAGTGCCCTGTCTCACCTTTGAACTCTCGATCCCAGGGCACATGCTTTATATGGAGGAAATGCTGACGCCAGGAGGTTGTTCCCTCTACACTCCATGATTCAGCATCTAGGATTATTGGAATCTATACAGTCTGAAACTCTATGACCTGTGTGTCCACAGCCAGCTGGCCGGAGAACAGCCCCATGACAGTCTTGGGGTTTGGTGGGAGAATTCTGGGTCTGGGGCACTCCTTGCACCTTTGAGATTCTGTGTGTGTGTGTGTGTGTGCGCGCGCACGTGCGTGCACACGCGCCTGAGAGAGACACAGAGAGAGAGAGAGAGGTAAAGGTAAAGAGAGAGGGGGGTAGGAGAGAGTCACTCAATGGCATGCCACATAGGCATGGTGTGCACCCTGGCTCCACATTAGCAGGCTGAGGAGACATGGCATGTGGGGGTGTCACTCCTCTCTCTGGCTAGAATCCCCTTAGGATCACTATCGTTGTGAGTAGTTCAGACCCAGGGACAGAATGCTCGTTCCCAGTGTGTGCCCCACCCTGGATGAAGGCCACTGAGGGAAGTCTGACACTTTGAACCCTTAGAAACAGCTGACAGTTGCAAGACCAGAATTACACTGACCTACTTCTAATGCCTTCTTTTTTTTCAGTGGAGGATAGCTTGTGCTCTCAGTTATTAAAAATGCAAATATTTGGTGTCTTTTTAAAAGCAAAACATAAACCAAAGGCCACCACTGACCCCGATAAGTATTACTGACCAGCACCACCAGGGGGCATCACAACACAAGCATTGCCCACCCTGAGCACCATGAGAATCCACATCACCCACTAAAACATGGCTTTATTTAAATGAAAATACTGGACGTGATAGAGCAGAGAGCATTTTTAATGGAAAATTAATTGATAACACAATTCTGTTTCAAAGTTCTCTCTCTGTCTCTCTCTTTTTTAAAGCGTAAACGACTGTGTGTGTCCCACAGTCTTCTGATGAGAAAGCCTCCCACACAGGGGCTAGCTTCTCTCAGCGTTCAGTTCTCCAGTAGGGCTTTGTTTCTTTAGGTTGTGCATTGATATGGGCTTCTCAGTTCAGAAGACAAGGCACTAGAACTATTTTTATCAGCTACATTATACATTGAAGATATATTGATCCTCTCATCAAATATACAATTACAGTATGGTTTTATGCAGATTAGTTCAAAACACCCAAGGCACACACTTTGTTTGTTTTTAAATCAATTTTTTCTATTCAGCATTTATTTGAAGGCTCATATTGAAGTTTCGGATTGGCTGTGAACAGAGTTCTAGTAGAAGCCGCGAACAGTGGCTGTTGTGACTTTAAACACAAGCCGACAAAGACTGTGGGCTGCAGACCCATGTCCCAGAGAGCGGGAAGAAACAGCATCATCAGGACAGTGGGGACTTGAAGGGCGAACCACGGGGCTGATAAAATCTGGGGCTGGGTACTGGACGCCACCAGACTCCCCCCAAAGTGGACAGACTGTGTGCCAGTGGCTGTGCGCACCCCCTTCCCCATCCAGGATTTTCCCACCCAGGGCATCTATAGGTGCAGACATGTTGCAGATCCATGGGGAGCAAATGCCTCCGATACAGTTCAAGTAAAGAGAAGGATGGCAGGTAACTGTCCCCGGATGAATGCCAACTTTACCAGGGAGCCTGGGAAAAGTCACAGGACAGAGAAGCTGGGAGGAATGATGGTCTGGGAAGATCTAGTGGGGACTGCAGGGAGCAAGGGACAAAGATGGGGATACGGTGGCTGCTGCTGCTTGGATGAAAGGTGTGTCCAGGGAGAGCCCCTGTTAGGGAAGTCAGGAGGCCAGAGGGGATCAGAGTTTTTCACATGTACTTTCCAGAAGTGCACGGATGGCCCTGGGATCCCGATTCAGCTGTTTGCCAAGGGCCCAGGCTCTCTCTTGCTCTTCTGCCACTCACGAAAGCATCATCTGGTTAGGTCAGCTAGAGAAGCTGCTTGGTCTTCAGCTCCCGTGGCCTCTGGCTAGCCAACAACCCTCAGTGCTGTGAGGATACCTCTGCTCCTGGGAAAGAGGGAGCTGAGCCTGGCTCTGTCTCTGGGATGTCCCTACACCCACCCTGAAACAAAAGGGACATCCAGGCCTAGGGCTCACAGCAGTGGTCACACAAGCACATTTTGACATGTTACACAATTCTGAAATAAAATACAAAGTTTCTACTTAGACAGTGAGGGTACTTGAGGAAATGGGCCTGAGGTGAAGTGGCTGAAGAAAAGATGCCACCCTTTCACCTTGTCCAGGTAAAGCTGACTAAGGTGTAGATAGAAAACACCCTACATCAGATGGCAAGCTTGATAGCTCTGAGGGAGTCAGTTCCACCTTCCCCTTTGTAATCAGAACCACAACCTTATTGCAAGAGTATATTTATTTTTTTACAGTAATTTTGGTTGCCATACAAGAGATCGAAGGATTTTGGGGGGGAAAAGTGCAAAGTACAGGAACTTTCTCTCTCTCTCTCCCTCTCTCTCTTTCTCTAAATAAAGTCTAAAAAGAAAAAGAGCACAAAATTAACAGCAACAAAGATAATGTGACATGTGTTGTCACACACAAACTATAGTGTGAAACATGTTAGTATTTAAAACCCAAAATTGCTAATGGGAGAAAAAAAATATTTGTGGCCCCCCCACCCGCACACACACAAAAAAAGTCATTGCCAGGTCAGCTGGGAAATGTTTGCTTTTTCAATAACTCAGGAAAAAAAAGTCACCATTTTATTAACTAAAGTATCACAAATATTTCTTATGTCGAGTTTCAGCATGTCAGCAGTCACATTGAGTTATTTTTAATTGTATGAATTAAATCTAAAATGCGCACGGACACCCCAGAGTAGGGATCCTGTTGGGTATACACAATTTACAGCTTGAGAGATTTTGGTTTTGTATACACAATATTACAGAAACTAGGCATGTAAATTTATGCAGTTATTTAAATTACAGTATATAACAAAAGTTGATCTTAAAACCTGGAATAGTGGTCACATGGTCCTTATGAGCAGTTTAACATCTGATTCACCACTGAAGAGGCCTGGTTCTGGCATATTCCAAGTGGGGAGAATGACGGGTGGCAATTTCGGTGAGGGACTATTGCTTTCTTAGCAACATTAACTATTGGAGATAGAGAGCCAGTCATCTAGGCAAATGTGTGTGTTTGGGTGGTTAGGGGTGGGTTCTGATAGGCTGGGCTGTGTTTCTGTGACCAGATGCTCCAAAGCAAAGCTGGCCTATCAGTTCCCGAGGCTGGCAGTCAGCTTGCTTCTGCTTGGTGGCATGTGGTGTGAAGTCTAAGGAAGGCAGTCGCAGCCTGTCACCCGCTGTCAAAGTTCAGCGGGCCCCAAGCCACCAGGTCTCCTGCCTGGCATCTGCCTGGCACTGAGCACAGAGGTAATGCCAACCGGAGGCAAAGGAAAGGAGCCCAGTGACATGGCACACTGAGGGGACTTCGAAGAACCACCCAATGGAAGACAAATTAATGGCGGGGCCTCATTTTTCCACCCTCTGAATTCTCTGCTGGCTACCCGCAGTGTCTGGATTTGCAGTGTCCCTGGGGTATTACTCACTCTTTCACCTTGCTGTGGGAAAATGACAGGACCCAGAGCAAGGTGCTCAACAGTCACCTGGTACCAGTTGATTGGATCATTCACAAATTGGGGTTGACCTGCAAAGGGTTTTGGGAACAGAGTAAGATTTGAAGTCTTGGTCTCAAGGGGTGTGGTGCGTATATTCTTGAGGGTGGTGTGTGCGTGAATGCGTGTGTGTGTGTGTGTGTGTGTGTGTGTGTGTGTGTAAGTGTGCATGTGTGTGCATTGTTTCTTGAGAAATGGCCACATTGTGAATTCTAATCCTTTTTGAAGAAATAATTGCCCTTCAGTGATGAAGCTGTGGCAAGACAGGAAAATGACCCAATGTTGCAGGTTCCAATGTGTTCAGGGAAGGATGAGTTTTAGAACGTTGTTTGTGTGATTGTCCCAAGGAAATGGTGTTATTAAACCACAAACCTCTTTCTTTTTTAGCTTTCCAGCACTAGGTGGCACAGAGGCTGCCCAGTAGACCAGCCACTTTTTTCTTAAAATATTGTGCTTATGAACTATCTGTACACATATTTAAACTTGCAGTAAAGAAAGAGATTTTTTAAAAAAAAGTTAAATTGTATGTGTTCATTCTAGAGCTGTTCCAGGCCTCATCAGACATGTGGTTGTGAGAGTAAGTGAAGAAAAAAAAAAAAGAATTATGTTTTATAATTAGAGATGGGCTGGGCTAGTTCTGAAATAATAAAACCGTAACCTGACATTCACGTCTCCTCTGAGTGCGGGGGAGAGGGGGATTTGGGAGCCTAGTTGGCTGTATGGTGGCTGTGTGCAGTCGGTGACCTCCCTGGGACATTAGAGGTATTGTTTCAGGAGGGAGAGATCTGGGGACAAGAAGGGCAGGCTCAGGCAGTGGGGCCTGAGGTGAGGCTTGGTCCAGGATGCTCCCTGCCTTCCTTTCCACACACACCTACACTTTGCCACAGCCTGTGCCCCACTTTCTGTCCACCAGGTCCTGACCACGGGCTTCTCTGAGACCCAGACTTACAGTTAAGACAAGCTGGTGGGATTCCCGCTATCTGAGAGAAGGGAGAAAGGCCCCTGAGTTCCACCTTTTTTTGGCCTCTGAGAGCCAAAGGGCTCCCTCAGCAGGATGCTCACCCATGGCCTGGTGTGGATGGAAGGCATGGTATCCCATCCTCTCCCAGGGAGGACCACAGCTTCCCTGGACAGCCATGCTTACCACAAGCCTTGGGTCTTCTTGTCCTTGTCAGACCTCTGTGGAGCTCAACAGACATCCAATTAAAGTAAATTCGAGAGCCCCCGCCTTTCCCTCCTGGATAGATGCTGCTCCGGGCAGACACCTGCTCTTGTCCTGGAGGAGGCTGTGGGCTTGGACAGCCACACACTGGTTGGCTCTGCGGCCAGGCCTCCCTCCTCCTCAGGATCGTGACTTTGTGCTTTGACTAACTCCGTGTGACTTCGGTTTGGCCACCCTGGAATTAAATGCTAACCGGTTTGCAGAAATAAAGAAAGCAAGTTAAGCAAGCTGGGCACGATCCTGTCCACACAGCCACCACTGCCAAGGACCTTGGGGCCAAAGAAGCTCAGATGCACAGGAGTCGGACAAAGAGGCGGATGGGACGGCATTTCTCTACCGTCTGGCTCAGGCAGGGCTCCACCTGGAGCTGCTCACTGAGAGCCAAACACAGGGGAGGGACAAGAGCCAGTGAGCCCACCCAGAGGCCACAGGCCTGAAGAAGGCTGTGTTCTGGGGCTGGATGGTGAGAGCTGCCCAGAAGGCAGATGAGGGAGGCCTCAGGAGGTATCTGGAGTACACTGGTACCTGCCACAGGAGGAGAGGGTCCCACATGCCATCGATGGGAGCCTTTGGGACCATGACAGAAAACCCCCTTACCATCCCTTTGGAAGCCGCCCAAGAAATCTGCATGGAGAGCTGGGTTTTGGGGCCCTGGTTTGGCCACACCAAGGACACCCACAGCACTTCTTTGGGCACCCAGAGACAAACCCATGGACTGAGAGGTGCTCTTAGCCTCTGCTTGGCCACCACACATTTCAACAAAAGCCCATCTCTACTTATAACAAAGGAGTCTGTGAAGGCCCAGGGCAGCCACCCTTATCTGTCCAGCAGCTGTTTCAAAGCCCTTTCTATGTTCATCCTATGCCCAACTCGAGTCACCCCCAGATCTATCAAGTCTTCCTTCTGGAGGTTTGGCAGGTGGCTGCCGTCAATCTCATTGTCCATGAAGGTCTCCTTATGTTCACCCAAGTTCAGACTTTCCAGCCAGTCTGCCACATCTGGTTTCGTCCACAGGTGGACAGGCTTAGTTGTAAAAGGCTTATTTGAGATTGGCTGTTGCAGTATTGAAGGAGATGGTGACCTGCTGCGTCCTGCTGGGTTCAAGCCAAAGAGTTCCCCTGCAGGGGACTGGCTCGGAAGGCTAAAGACATCTGAGAGTGTGGGGGAGGGAGAGGCTGCGGCAGCAGACGGAGGGGTGGGTAGAATCTCTTTGTTCAACTCTGTTGGTGAGACCACAGGGCTTGGGGCACGTCTGGGTCCTGAGGTCCTGCTTTCATAGTCAGGGGGCCGGTTCTGCAGGGTGATGGGCTGGGAGGTGCCAGGGCGGACAGTGAAGGTGACCGTCGTGCTCCGTGTTCCTGAGACTGTGCTCATGACCTCCGGGCTTCTGAAACAGCAATGACAGAGAAGAACGTCACTTCCAGGTCATTGAGGGTTGTAGGAAGGGAGGGGGAGGCACCCACACCACGGCAGAGGGTCTGCACTGGCAGTGACGCTGACTGCCATGCCAGTCAGAAGGGTATGGGTGGAGCAGGAGGGACAGCATCACAGCAAGCCAGCCACTCACCTGGGCCAGGCCGGGAGGAACCTGGAGGGACCCCCTGTGCAGGCCAGAATGAGCAATGTACACCTTCAGAGGACCCAGCAACCTGCCAGGGCTCTGCTTATGGGTTAAAGTCCTTGGGTTTTGAACTTCCACTGCTTTAGAAGGGCCACGCAGACATGTGGGGTTGGAAGAAATTTTCTTGGGTGCTGATAGTGTGTCCTGTGATATGTTCTGCAGGGGGTCTGCTTCCCAAGGACACCCCCCTCCCACAGTTTCCTTGCAGGCCTCGGGGTATGCTGTTGCACTCCCTCCAGGGGAAGACTTTTTCCCAATGGTAGCCATAGGTGTACTTCTTGCCCTGGGTGAATGAGGTCCTCAGAACGGAGGGGCAGGCTCAACTCTCCCAGAGCCTACCTCCTCAGGCCCAGGGGTATATGACTTCCATTGGGATGAGGTCCTACTGTGTGCCCAGGGAGTTCTTGTCCTCATTCACCTATCTGGAAGTGGTTGCTTTATGAAATGTGTTCCCTAGACAAGTTGGGCAGCCCCCCTAAAAACTTTCTGGCCACACACCCAGAAAGGTGAAGCCTCCCTCCAAGGCCTGCTTCTTGCCCTGCTGTCTCCAAACTGAACCCTTGGGACTACAGATACCATCAAGGTGAAAACAGATGCATCTCATGACCTGGGCTTGTGGACACTCCACACCCCTCTCATTTCTGGAAAGGTCCATTCTGCCACAGGCACAACCTAGACTGATGTGGCTCAGAGTTTAGCCCACACACCTACATGTCCTGTGGAAACAGGTAGGAATTGAGGGCTCCCAAGTCCACGTTATAATTGTCAGGGTGGGGCTTCCGGGTGTGATATCACAGTTTCTGCTGGAGCTAAACTCCTTCTAGTGTCGGTACACTGAACTTTGGGGGCCTCTTACTGAAGCCCCCTACAGGGCTCAGAGAGGCTAACTGACCAGGACCTCCTCAGAACATAAGAGAGGGGTGAGAGTCTGAGGCGACCTACCATGGTCCCCGAACCTCACTCTGCCTCCCTTACCCTTGGGCACTGTTTTCTTTGCTAGCTGTGTGTCTGTGTGAAGCCACTAGCTGGTCACCCAGGCCCCTCTTTGTCCTGGGAAACACCCCTGCTAGGGTTAGTAGTGACAATCTCAAATATAGGATATTACAGAGGGAGAAAGGTGTCGGTTCCATGGGCCATGACTCTGCTGTGGATGTGTGGACTGATGTCCCAGAGCATCAGATCTTCAGCAATGGCTTCTGGGAGCTGGAGGTACATGTGGAGCAGGCCCCAGAGTGCTCCCCCACCAAAGTTTGCTCACACAGCCTGGTGACCGGTTGTACCTGTAGACAGGTCGTCCCAGTGGGCCTGACACAGTCCATGGGGTGAAGACCCTGAAGCCCATCTGGGCCTTGCAACTTTCAGGGGACCCTGAGCTTTCAGTTTTAGGTACCCATGGAGAGGTGGGCCAGGGGCATGGTAAGGGTCTATGGAATCTGCCATGTCCCCCTCCGATTTTCAGGTTGTAGTGTGAGCCACTCCAGGTCCAGCTTATGCAAGCATCACATGGCTCAGGTCTCTTTGCAATGTGTGTGTGTGTGTGTGTGTGTGTGTGTGTGTGTGTCATTTCCAGCATATGGCACTTCCCTATACAGACGTGAGGCTCTCTCAGGTAAGGACCTTAGGAGGGAGAGGGAGGCAGGAGAGTGTCCTATAGGAGCTCTTGAGAACGAGTAAGGCAGGGAGGCTTTGGGAGGTACTGTGTAATTCTGTGCCCAGCACTGGCCTGCCCCTTGGTTTGGAACCATGTGGTTGGCATGTCAGTCCCCCAAGGGCCAGCAGATGCCTGGACACTGTTCAGCAGTATCTTTAACCCAGTGCCCTGGGCTGGGCTGGGCTTGCTTTGGCCAGGAACAGACTCAGCAGCAGCTGCTGCTGGGAAATGGGTAGGAACAGGAACAGTGGCACACAGGGAACACTCAGCAGGCTGCACTTACTTCTGCTCAGCATGACCCTCTTCTGCACACAGCACCATGGGAGCAAAGGGAAACGACATAGGGAGTGGTTGAGATGACACTGTAGAACTGACTGGAAGGCAAGGAGAGGCAGCAGGCTCCTCAGGGGTGAAAACAAGGTAGGTGGGACCCTGGCTGAATGCTCCATCTCAGAAACCTCCTGGCAGGCAGCCCAGTGGCTCAGGCCTACCACTTAACACCAGCAGGCCCCATGCCTTCTCTGGCATGAGATGTACCATGAAACACTCAAGGAAGGGAGACTCTTTGGCAAGAGGTGCACAGCTATTTCTCTAACTTGGTCTTGGTCTTGGAAAGAACGAATCAACGTTCCCGGTGAACCAGACCAACCTACCCAGGCTAGGTCTTTGCCTCAAGTTTACACCACAATGTGGCGGTCAGCCCAACAGCTAACAACAAGGATATAGCCCTGGCCACCTGGTTGGGGCCTATAAGTGCTCCACCCAATACAGTGACTGCCGGGTAGAGTTGGACTGGGAATGATGGCTAGCCTGGCGGCCTGCTCTGAGCCTTCTGGGTAGCCTGCCTCCTTCCTGGTGAATCACTCTGTCATGACTCATTGGATCCTCCTGCTTGCGCAGATCATTATGTTGCTAGGCAACGGCTGGGCTGCTGGGCAGCATATACAGAAGTCTTTACCCTGATTTAGAATAGATACACACTCACAAACACCCGCCTCTGGGAGGATCATCTCTCGCCTGCTTTTTAAATCAAATTCATTTTTAAAAAATGCGAGAATTAAAAACAAAACCAGCCCAAAAGCAAATCCAGCTGCTGGCGGACAAGCTTCACCTGTCTTCCCTGGCAAGAACTGATGAGCTGGGGAGGCAAATGGGCAACAAGACTCACACTGTGGTTGCCGATTCAGCTCGGATCTGAGCAGGAGTGTGCACCAGAGGCTCCTCGTGGGCCAATACCAGTGTTAGGGTTCAGGGTCCTTTGGGCATGGACCCTCAGCCTCCGGCTCGCCTCTGTATGAGGCATTTCCCTCTAAAACACTTGTTGCCTCCCCTTCCTTTCCTCCATCTTCTCTGCCCCTTTTTTGGTGACTTGAGATGGAGTCTCACTGTCAACCCAGGTTGGTTTAGAACTTGTAGCAATCCCCCTGCCTCTGCCTCCCTAGTACTGGTATTACAAGCATATAGAACCATATCAGGCACCAGACTGCTTTCTTACAAAGTCACTCTGTCACTCTGCCTTTCCAGACTTTGTAGGAGCACCACCCCATTTCTCTCTGGGACTGTTGTAATGTTTGCCCACGTCTCAGAAGCTGGGACCCCTCAGCACTGCTGATCCTGGGATCCTGAAGTCATCATGGACTCAGAGGACTGTGAGGGCTCTGCTCTCCAGGTCCCAGGGTGTAACAGCTGAAGGAACAGCTGTGGGACACCGTGCTTGCTTTCCTGCGGAGGAAGCAGCCTCAGGCTCAGCATCACTGTCACTAGCTAAAGTTGCTAGGTCGGGAAGGTGCCTACTGCCAGGAGGAACTGTCTACCCATTATAGGTTCTTGTCAAAGAGAGACCAAGAGAGAAGACCCGAGAGGGTTGGAGAGATGGCTCAGTAGTTTAGAGCCCTGGCTGCTCTTTTGAGGACCCAGATTCCATTATCAGACCCAACCCCCACCCATTGGTTCAACCATCAGTAATTCCAGTTCCAGAGGATCCAACACCTTTTCCTGGACTCCACTACATGTGCGCAGTGCACATATACACAAGCAGGCAAACATAAATACTTTCTAAAAAGGAAACCTGCTATTTGATGATCAAAAGAGGGCACTCTGCCAGAGTAATCACCTCAACACACGCAGACTATGGCAAGAAGTGCCAGCTCCTGAGCACCGCCCCTTGGCAGTGCCATCACCTGCTGGTTTGGGTTGGTGATTGAGATACAGAAGCTGCCTGACAGTGCAGACAGCTTGAGATGCCATGGGACGGAAACCTGTGCTCTGGGACCAGCTGGTCACAGTAGTTCAACGATCCATATTGATTAGTTTCAGAACTGAGAGACATATGGGCAAGCCAGCTGAGAGCCAGGGGACACTGGCCAGGGATAGGAGATGCTGCAGTTCAGGAACCTGAGAGGTCAGCAGGGGTTGAGTAAAGCCCCACAAGCACCCAGAACACTGCCTTCCCAGTGGTCTTAGGGACCTGGACTTTTACCTCCCCCCGCCCAAGCCCCTGTGTGCTTCAGCAAGGTGAAGGCCAAAGTGCTGGCAGTGAAGTGTTCATCACACCCTTAGAAGGAGCCATAGGGATTCCCCCAAGCATTCACTACCCCATGCTCTGCGGAGAATGAACACAAGCTGAGTTTGTCCACGAATGCCGGAAGAGAACATGTTTCATCCTGCTTTCTAAGTGATGCCTGGTGGCTGTTAGTTAGCTCAGCAGAGCCAAGAGAGGATGCTCCTGTTTCTCAGGTCACAGCCAGCTTGACCTGGGTCAGTGCTTATAGACAGGCAGCCTGGTCTAGTTCTTCAGCTTCTCCAAGGCACCCTCTCCTCTCCAGCACCTCAAAGCATCCTCTGCATGTCACAGGCAGCCTTGGGAATGTCAAGGAAACTGGAGTCCAGTCCGGGTAAGCCATGGTAAGTCTGTGCACGGTTTCTACCCCCTTGGATCCAATCCTGTGTCTCCATAGCCTATTTATCCCTTGCCACGTGGCCTGGTTCTGACTTGCTGGCATGCAGAGTCCCTTCCGGTCAAGCTTCACACTCTCCACTGCCATGTTCAGGATGCTGTGCTTCTGGTTTGTATACAGCGGATTCCTCTGTGTATCACAGGCCACTGACAGTCACTTCCTCGGAGTGCCAACTTCTCTGTGCACGGGGCCACTCTCACCTGAAGGAGTATCCTTTTCCCTCTGTGCCACTTGTCACACGCTGTCCTGTCTTGCTTAGTAATTTCCATTTGTCACCTCAAGAACTGGCACTCCCCAAGGGAACAGTGGCCATGCTTTCTCAATGGCATATGCTTTTCTCAGGTGACAAAATCTTAGCACCACATGGTGCCTGGAACCATGGACCATCAACAGAGACTGGCTGGGTGAATGACAGTGGCCAGTTGTGGAAGGCCATGGTATCTTCTGTGGTGATGTCTCTTGTCTCTTTCTTGGGTCGGGTCCTGGGCTATAGACAGTGGTTGGTAGCGGCTTAGTGAACTCACTACCATGGCTGAGCACTGGTCCCATGCAGCTTTAACCAGGATAACTGAGTGCTCTGCTTGGATCCATGAAGTAGCAAGATGTCACTTGGGCCTGCTACCTCCACTGTGGGCCAGATGCATCAGTAGATGACAGACGGCTTCTGAAAGTCAAAAGCCTTGTCTAATTGGAGGACATTTCAGGGTCACCCATGATGACTTTTTATATCTATCCCACAGGGGCTAAGCAGACACCAACATAGCCATATCCTCTGAGTTCTGGGCTCTTGGGGGAGGGCAGAACTGCTGAGCAGTGGGCTCCATACGGGGGTGGGGGTGGGGACAGCCAGTACAGGGGAAGCCTGTGGGCAGTGGGGAGAGGCAGTGATTTTAGATGCAGACCCCACCCATCAGCTTCCTTCCTTCATTTTTGTCTGACTCTAACAATGAGATCACTTCAGCATCAGGCCTGTGGCCAGAATTATCCCATGGCTTTTCTCCATGGTGTTTTCAGGTTGGGCCCAGGAGGGGTGGTCTCTGATAAAGGAAATCCCCAGACTGGGATTCCCTTTCAACTTATTTATAATTAAAATGTGACTAAATTCCACACTGCCCTGATTTTGGGGTCAGTATAGAAACCCTGATTATATATTAAAATTAGACCCCTTTACACCCAAAGGAAGCAACTGACAGGCCATCTAACTCTCTCTCCTCCCTGGACCCTGTCCTGGTGCTAACATAAGATGAGTTCCTCAGAGCTGGCAAGAGACTCCAGCAGCCAAAGGAGCATATTTCAAAGGCTAAGTGAGTTCAGCAAAGCTCTTGCCCACATGGTTGAACCATTGAGGAGCTACTGTGAGAGCAGACCCTTCCTGGGTGAGCCAAGTCAGGGTCTCTCCGCCTTAGTGTGTGTCACTTCATAGACTATGACCTGTTTTCAGTGTTCCCTCGAACCCTTCATTTCCTTTTTCCCGAGTAATAATTCCCTCCTTGGGATTTTGAAACTCATTTTCCTCAGGGTCATCCAGGACTCTCAACTTCCAGAAGAATTTACAAGTGGTGGCAAGATGTCTGTGCTGAGTGAACCACCAGTTGTCATCTTGGGCCCAGCCGTGATGCAGAGGCAGAGCACCTAACTGCCACATGGGATGCATCCATCCATGGTTCCATGAACTGCCACCACAGCCTGTGGTCCTCTGTGTCTTGCCATTGCAGCTGGCATCACAGGACCCTGTGCCCATGGTGCAACCCTTAGATTTGAAAAGGAGGGTTGGAGATGTGTGTTTCTTCTACCACTTGGGGTCTGCAACTGTCATCTCTCCCCCTCAGCGGCAGGGGGGTCCCAGGTCCAATGGCCACACCTGTCTTCCTGGGAGCTCAGTCTAGTCTTATGGACAGTCTTTAGAGGGTGGGCTCTGTCTCTGGAGCCAATCCCCAGTCTCAGCTTAGGAGTAGAACTTTCCCACAGAGTCCCTTGACTCTGGGCTTCATGGCTCTGATTGCCAGTTTCTGCCTCTCTGCTGGAACCTGTGCCACAGAATGCTTGGTGTTCAGAGGTGCTGGGTAGGTGTTGGCTAAAGTCCTTGCTGTGAGTGACTTGGGCCATGAACAAAACTGTCTGGGTGGTGGCAGTTCTACCCGCTGGGATTGTGCTCTGAGCTCCTCTACCCCTCTATCTGGCATCCAGGAATCCTTGCTCCCAGTGGAGGATAAGTCTCCTTCCACTAGGATTACCCTCCACTAGGAGCCACTGGACATTGTCTAAACAGAGACAAAAAAAGACAGGGAACCATCTGCTGCCATTCAGAAGGCCCCCACAAATAAGGACAGTAGATGAGCTTAGGGATCCTGATATGGAAGCCTGCCCCAGCTGGACAGTGAGCTCTGCAGTCCTGAATTCATTTCCTCTCAGCTTCTCTCCTGCCAAAGATGGCCCTAACGGGGAGACAAGAGAGGCTGCAAGTCTCTGTTTGTGGTTACCATGTACATGGCTCCTGCTTAGCTTCTCTGAAGAATGGGCCTAACACCAAGGACCCTGCTGTCCAGTCTTAAACACCACCCTAAGGGCTTGCAAATATTTCACAAGAGGGTGTACCATAAAGGACTGTGTGACTATATAGCAGAAAGGGTGAAACACATTTTAAAGTTGCCTCGAGACTTCCGCATATGTATAAAAATTGCAGGTATGTATGTAGTTAATCCACCAGAAGTGAGGGGTTTCTTCAGATGTCCCCTAGCTAGCAGGGAGCCATGGAAGTATGCTTTTGCACACCAGCCTTAGCGGGTGTCCTGCTAATGGGCGGTGGCATCCACACACTTCTTAATAACATCGACCAATCAGTATCTCTCAGAGTAGTAAAGCTGCTGTGCAAGTCATTCATTACAATTATGCTGAAAGGTAAGAGGGAGAATTGTGGCTCACAGCCTAAACCTCAAGATTCAAATGCAGTGTGATGTCCCTGACTAATGGGCTCGGTTCTTTGAATCAGATGCCTGCCCAGCGGGAGAATAAAGAAAGACTTCATTAGTCAAAACGATGAAACCCGAGCTCAGCCATCAGTCAGAGAAGCTGAGAAGCACATGGACATGGAAAAACATCATGCATGTACGTCAGGAACAAAAACAACAACAACAACAACAACAATAACAAAAGAGAAAGCCACAAGAGAGGGTAGATCCCAAAAGGCTGCCCGAGTACCACCCCAAAGCCACACAGTCAAGGGGCTGTTCTAGAGCCTTCTGGTTGGGCTTAGAAAGAATGAGTTTATTCTACTCCCATCCTAATGCAGTTAGCTTGTTAAACTCTAAATGATGCCGAAAACAGCCCTATTGGGCCCAACTGGCAGGATTCCTTTGGGATGCCGCCCTGGGTAGGGTGATGCAGCCATGAGGCAGGTGTTTTTCCTGAGCAAACGACCCAGCTCCTCCCCAATCCTCAAACTTCCTAGTGATTGAGGAAGAAGGAATGACACAGACGCCTAGCTATACCACCCGCCCTCTGACCACCTTTGTTCACCAGTTTGGGTTTTAATGATGCTCTGCCTGCTTTTTGAGGTAGCCCTGGCAAAAGGCTGGATGGAACTGAACAGAGACATAAGCATCCTTCTGGAAGTGACCAAGGGCCTGGCCCAGTGCAACCTAGTTTCTTTACGTGTCTTTTTAGGAGTGTGTGTCACAGGCTGCATGGCAACCATGGTCTTGGCTCTGCCGTAATCCGGTGATAGGATGGCGATAACATGGTTACAGCCTAACAGGTGTGACAGAGGCCATGCAGGTCCCCTCTTCTTGATTGCATTGGTGGCTTCCCAGTGGTTTTGCTTGGCCAGTGCTGGGCCACACATCACCAAGCTGACTCTGACTGTGAACTTACCTTGGAGCGAGGTTGGCCGATTTAGCTCCCACCGGCAGTTCCAGCCCTTCCCCGGGCTTGACCGATTTCCCCCTGTTCATCTGTTGCAGAATGGAGTTTAGCTCACTAATGACATTTGCCTTTGGGCCTGAGAGAATTGGGCTTTTGACCTCTGGGACATCACCCCACAACTTGGAGGTCCTTGGCTGGATGACTTTCGCCATACTGGCCTGGGCACTGCCCGGTGGGGGTGGGGGTGCAGGTGGGGGGATCACAAAGCCATCTGTGTCCTCTTCCGGGAGCGTGTCTTGGTAAAGTGCATTGCTTTTGTGAACAATGGGCTTCATTTTTGGCTTTGGAGGTACTGGGGGCTTGTCAACCACAAAGGCTTGCCCGTCTGCATAGACTGTACAGGTATCCATGCTCTCCCCGCCCTCTGAGGACAGCGTGGAGATGCTGGACACTGTGGAGATGGTGCTGGTTGTCTCGAGATGGTGGTCGCTGCTACTCCGGCTGTCCACCTCCTCGATCCCGGAGTCGGTGACGGCGTCAAAGCTTTCAGGGGGTGGCAGGAATGAGGAGGGCAGACAGTTTGAAATGCCTGTCGGCTTCTTACTGTCTGCAGAGTTGGCTGGTTGGCTGGAGTTCAACGAAGGGGGCTGAGGGGTGTCATTTTTCTTCTGTTTGACCAAGTCAGCAAGGGCGGGAACTGAAGCTGCACGGTCATCAGGGATATCAAAACTATTTGCGAATTCCAGGGGAGGAGGCAATGGTTCTGTGAAAAGAAAGTCCTCATCCAAGTCCACGGACGCCAGAGGGGGAGGGGGGATGCGGAATGGCAGAATCACCGCCTCTTCCACGGAGCCCGCTGCCACAATGGTCCTGCCGGGCGCAGCTGCGGGCTCCGGGGCAGCGGAGATCTGTAAAGCACCTTCGGTTTTGGGAACGCCGTCTGGCACTGTGGAGGGTGAGTGGTCTGGCTTTATATCCATGTCCTCTCTGTCCTCCTCTTCCTCCAGGGGCGGCCCTGCCGTGGGCACGTCCACCGTGTGCACCATCAGCAGACCGGCTGACTTCTGCTGGGCTGTGTCCACGATGTTGATCAGCATGTTCTTCTTGTCATCACCCCTCCGGTCCTTGCTCAGGTCTGTCTCGTACTTGTTCTCTGTCTCTTGCCGTCGCAGGGGACCCCGGGTGTTCTGCCTGGTGACCGGAGGGAAGCCGGACTCCACACTGGGACGCATTTTGGTATCAATGTAGAGAGGCTTGTTGAGGTCAGCCTTGGGGGCTTCCCCCTTGTGTCCCTGCTGGGACTCCTGCATGGCTCGATCCCTGGCAGAGAGTGCCAGGGCCAGGGGGGAACTGGGGTCGAGCAGTCGCCCTGTGAGTGGGTGCACGTAATTCTCAGGGCTGGCTGTGCTGCCACTCTTGAGAGGAGCTGCTGGGCCACTCTCAGGCCCCTTGGCTTTAGATATGGAACTCAGGGGTCCCCCGGTCTCCCCCTGAGTAACAGTCTCTCCACTACCTAGGAAGTGGTTCTCCAGCTCCCTGGGTGCTGTTCCAGGGGTAGGTGATAGAGGCTGTTCTGTTCCATCCTCGTCACCAAACCCACCCTCCTCAGGGAACTTGGAGGGCCGTATCCGGGGAGCAGGTGGCCCCAGGCCCACATCCTCATCTCCCAGGTCTGTGGAGAGGAAGGCTGGGGAATTCCTCCTGGCTTCCAGACGCTTCTCCCGGTCACGCACAGCCCCAGCAATGGCTGCAGCAAAGGGGCTGCTGACAGTAAGGCTGTCATCCGGCCGCAGCTGGCCGGGCTCCGTGGCCTGGGGGTCGATCTCCATGCTGCTGCCCTGGCTGCTCTTGCCGCTGCTGCTGGTGGAGGGTTCCTTGACAATGATGGTTGGGATGGGGATGGAGCATGTCTTCTCAGGGCTGTCCTCCACATTGGACTGCTTCACCAGCATGCCCTTCCGCCTAGCTGGCTTGGCGGGGACATAGACGGCCTTGCTGGCTATCTTCCCCACCTCTGAGTATGGGTTCTCAGGCATCTGTCCGCGCTTGGTGCGGAAGGCAGCCTGTGGGGTGGGGCTGCGGCTGTAGACGTCTTCGGAGTCCAGGGAGAATCGGTCCAGCTCTCTCCTGTAGAACATCCCCTTTTCCCGCATCATGGTGGCCACAGTGTCAGACCTGGTGGCTGGGGGCACCTTGGCGATGGGGTTCTGACTGAATGCAGGCTTAATTGTCCCATAGACTCTTGGAGTTGGGGACTTGGGGCAGTTATACGTGGTGGGGGAAGGTGGAGGGGGAGATGGGGGCACAGACTGCGGCGGAGGGGGTATGTCCTCAGAAGTGTCCGGCATGGACAAGCTTCGGGTGAACTTCAGCATCGGGGGAGCCAGAAACTGCCGCTCTTCCTCTGTTATCCCTGTAAGCAGAGAACACGTTTTAAAGCCCAGAAACCTCAGAGCCTACTGGATGCCTCAGGACTGTGTAACACACTACATCTCCACATACTCACAAACTCAGACAGTAGACAATTGTTAGAAAGCACAGCACAGCCAGGACACTGGAGTTAGTTACACGCCCTCTAGGAGCCAGAAACAGAGAGAAAGGTGTTCGGTGTGGTGAACACATGTGTGCATTTGCTTTTCTCTGGGGCACATTGTGGTGTCTGCAGTGAGGTAAGGGTGGCAAGGGAGACAATCCAAAATAGGCTGTATGCAGCCCTCAGGCCATGCCCTGGCCACCTGAACCCAAAGATGTGGCTGCATGTGTGCACACATAGGTGCTGGTGCAGGAAGCTTCTGTCTTTGCCCCTTTCAGGCCTGGTGAAGGCTCCTAATGGACTGAAGCTCTCATCTGACTCTCTGAGAGGCCATGTGAATGGCATAAGGGTCAAGACTGCTGTCCCTTCTGCCCAGTTATCAGGCAGACCTGTCACCCTGCTAGAGCAGCTGTCTGCCTAGTGGTGACTCATGTGTGCTAAGAGGATGTGGTACTGCTCTTGTGTGGTCTTCTCCAAGGGAACATTGACCAGTTTTGTCACCTGCTTCCTCTGGGCCACACGGAGGGCTCTGTATATGTTGAACTTCTCAGCCCTCAGCAGGTGGCTGGCTCGAAAGAAAGGCCATTCTGGCATAGGCTGTGCCTCTGAGGGGAGGGAGCCTTGATTTCTCCTAGTCTTGGTCCACAGCAGCTGCAGGATGCTCACTAGCTGCTCCATGCCAGCTGCCCAACTCCACAGAAGCTCTGAAGTGGGCCAGGAGGACCCTCTGGGGAGTTGTGGGTGGCTCTCATGGGCAACCAGGCCTGGCTGACTTGACACAAAAGCAGAACCATGTTCTGAGACCTGACAGGCAAAAGTATGCAAGTGTGACCACAAGTGGGGATGTGGCTGAAGCCGCAGCATGACCTGAACTTCCTCTGGGTGTATTAGCTGGTGTGACAGTAGGCTCCAGTACAGCCTAAAACACAGAGACAGAAGCAGCACACACAGCGGCAGACACCAAGGATGGGTTCTCATACAGGGCATGCAGGGTTTCAGAGGCAACAGAATCAATTACTTGAAATTAAAAAAAAAAAAAAATCCCAGAACAAACTACAGTCATTTATTCCATGAGAACTTCTATTTGATAAGGGTATTCCAAATTGAACATACTCCTGTGGGAGGCAATTTTGGTGTCTCAGAGGTCCCTTGCTGAAGGAGATCTCTGTGGACCATTCACTGTTAAGTTGTCACCTAATGGCGACGTTTCCCAAGGAGTAATAATTTAAGAATACCTCTTATAAAGTAAACCAGGATACATTCAAGTTACAGATTCCAAACTGGGGATTCACTGACCTGATAGAAAGATTCTGCTGTCTGACAGGAGGAAATCAACTGTTATTAACCAGAAAGATCCAGAAATACAATAAGGTGTGTGTACAGCTATGCCCGGCCCTGAGTGTGCCAGGGGTGGGTGAGCCACCCAAGCTGCAGACACCACCATGGTCATTACCACCTAGATGCCGCCTCCTGCCTCCTCCTCCTCCGATTAAAAACAGCCTTGCCATGCCATGCCTCTGGCAGCATCGTCAGGAGGAGCTCCTGGAACACGCAGAGCTTATGTTCCTGGTGGTACCCTGCCAAGGCTGGAGGCTGCATACCTCTCTCTTCATGTGGCAAGGTTCCACTGTGTCCAGCAGTACCCTTGGCTTCCACAAAGTTCATGTGGTAAGGATCACCACACTGGGGTTTTTCCTGTCTCAAGGGGTCAGGTTTAGGTTTACCTTGCCCTGTCCAAGCCAGTGAGGGAAATGGGATGTTAGCAAGGAAGGCAAGCTGCTTTCTTACACACAGCGGTTCAGACCTGACCCAGCCACCCGGAGAAGTATGTCCCTCGAGCTCAGCCTATGAAACATTGACTGGAGGGGTCTGCCTGCCCAGCCCACCCTCCATCTGGCTCCCCAACTGCTCTCATCAGATTAGAGAAACCACCCTAAAGGAAGGTTTTATACCCCAGCATGTCCAAGGGGCTGCCTGGTAGGCAGTCCTGGTGGGGAGTGGTTAAGGTGCAAAGGCAACTGTGGGGCCGAGAGTCAGGAGCCCAGAACTCCTGAGGAGCTGAGTGCTGCATTTGAAAGCTTAAGGGCAACGTCTTCGGGTGGGGGTCACGCTTCTTACCTATCGATTTCTGCCTTCGCATCGTACCTCGAGGGAGGCCCAGAAATGGGCCTTTCGGGCTCCCAGGGACCGTGGGCGTCATTACTGCAATCCCTTGGCGCTCGTACACGGACTGCAAACCAGAGAGCCAGGTGAGGTGCATCCCTGGGAGCCCCACCCATGGTGACAGGACCAGAAATGACAGAGAGCTCTGGGAGCAGTAGGCACCGATCACCAAGGCTTCCTCAGGCCGTACCCTCCCCACACTCCATTTAGCTCCTATGCATCTGATGCCAGCATCCCAAGCTCTAGGCACCATACTCTGCTGAGACAACATTCACTGGGCCAGTCAGCAGAGGAGCTCTTGGAGAATAGGGCCATGATGTCTGGCCCATGGGAAAAAGCACAGTGTGGTAGGCAGTAGGGTCTGATCTAGGCCATGCCCTGTGTCCTCATGTCACTGTGACTTTGATCAAGTCCTCAGCTTGGATTCTGTTTTCCCCTTCCAGCTACTATGGGGGTGGCCAGGTGCCAGGACCTGTGCAAATGAGTAGGATGCCTGACCTGTCGCTGGAGATAACTGCCAAGTGACCCTGGAATGTGTCACAGATTGAAGTAGGCTCTGTCCTTGCCGTGGCCTGAAGGTGGACTCTCATAGAGCACCTCTCTACCCCCTCACAGCTGGCCCTCACAGCTGGTACACTGATGCTGTTTTGCCTGCTGGTCTGAGATGGTTGGCCAGTTACTCCCTACAGCACAGCCCAGGGAAGGACTTGGGAAAGTTTAGACGCTAAGGCTCACTGGGAACATGTTTGTGGGTGTACCCTGACAGGCTCACCGGGGCTTTTGAGCCTCCATGCCAGAGTCTGAGGCTGTGGATGTTGGATACTGGCTCCTGGGAGGACAAATGAATGTACCTCAGGTGGCTGTCAAGTTGGAGAGCATCAGGGTGGAGAGTAGGTATGCTGAAGGTTAGGGCGCCACCTATGGGTCTCCGAGGGGAAGAGGGCTGAGGTGAACATATGAGCCTCAGCATCTATTTTATTGCATACCTTACTAAGTTCATGGCAATGGTGGGTGTTATTATCTAAAAGGCCTGGGTTAAACCACGCTAATTTGAAAGTGAGTCAAAGGAAATACTCAGCTATGTGGTGGGACAGTTAGTGCTCAGACCTGGCACTGGACTGTGATGGTGACCAGAAACCAGAGGGAGGCATTGAGGGGTACAGAGGCCTCACCTTTGTCCAGGACTTACACCTGGCTCCTGAGAAACTTGTCATCTGTTTCCTGGGAGTGCATTTTACTAGGGGTGGGTGGGAATAGAGACATCACAGGCCGTGAGCCGGCATCCAGAGCCTCCCATGTACAAGGAAGCCCGGTGCACCAAGTGGCTTCTCTTCTAAGCATGGTGTCAGCCCACCTCAGGGCATGTGCCAAGTGTCTGTGCAGAGGACCAGTGTGTGAGGCTCTCGGCAGGCAAGGGGCACTGGCTGAGGAGCATTCCCACAGCCCCTATGCCTACAGTCTCTTGGTTTGGCACATGGTGGGACACCTTCAAGGTTTGGGATGCTGCAGATAAACCCAGGCCAAGATGGCATGCAGAAGTGGTGTGGGTTGCATTTCTGCCTGGACATTGACTCACTGCAGATTTGTGCTAGACCAGAGTGCTCACCCATGGAAATGGGGTCTAAACCTATGTAGGGCTTTTAAGGCCAGCTGCTGAATTGGCCTGCCCCTTGCATGCTGAGCCCTCTGCCTGCCCATCAGTCAGGCCAGCCCAAACCCTACCCAGTCCCACTGACTCACATTCACATCAGAGGCTGCTGGGAAGCACCGGCTAGTGGGCCGCTGCTTGATTGTTGCCACCCTCGATTCTATGGCCACGTTCTCTGCAGTCCTGGAGGGCTTGGAGGCTGGGACTATCTCTTCGGGTTTATCTAGAAGATAAAGTAATGGTTAGAGTTGTTTAGTCTCATGGCACTTTTGGGGGTTAGGTGGGCTCAGTTAGGGGAATGCTCATGTGCCTGGAGTAGCGGGCAGGCTGTGGCATGGGGAGCAAGCATGCATCTCTCCCCACTCCACACATCCCACTAGGGCACCGCCACACATCCCAGACCTCGCCTGCCTGAGGTGTGTACAATGGACAAAGACAGCAGGAGACCTCAGCATCTCAGCTTTCCCCTCTAGAGAGTGGTATACAACCTAGGACCTGTGACTTGCCATCTTCAGGTCTGATAAATGGGATTTGTTATGGATAGTGTTAATTATGAAATTACCATTATTATTTTGAGCCAGGATCTCAGTGTGTATCTCAGGCTGGCCCTGAACTTTTGTCTTGTTTCTCCTATGCAAGTCTTCTGAGGGTTGATATTATAGGCCTGTCACACACACACACACACACACACACACACACTCATATACATTCATAAATGTGGTCCTTTTTGTAACTGAACAGTTTCCAAGGCAAGAAACCTGCACCAAGGCTGGAAGGTTGACTGTGGTTAGTGAGCCAGACAAGGTAGCAGAAACCCCACACTTCTGTATGCATGTTGCTTAGGAAAATTTAATTTATTCTATCCATGCTAGAATATTCCCAGTCCTAGATAAATGAAAACCAAAGCTTCAGGAATCCTGGAAAATGAAAAAAAAATTAAACTTAAAAAAAAAAAAAAGCTCATTCTAGAATGACCCTGTCACCCAGTTTAGCTGTAAGACAACTGAGGTCTTTGTCTAGGGTCGTCAGAACACAGAGACCCCATTCCCTGAGACCTGCAGTCACAGGCACTTGGGAAAAGGTCCCAGCTGTCCCACGCTGTTTTTTGTGTTTTTGTTTTTTTTGCAGGATGCCCTGGGCCAGGATGAAGCTTATGGAGAACTGTGCCTATAGACACCTCCCACATTGGATCCTATTGAGGTACAGGGGATGTTAACTTCTAGAACATTTGCCGTATAAACCTGAGTCCTTACAGGTAAGCTTTGCCCATTCTGGGGTCTGGTGACTCTCTGTTTAGTGAACACAGGGTGATAGAACTACCAAGTCATTCAAAATACCACTTGGCAATGGTTGTTTATCAGGAGGTGCCAATATCCAGTATCCAGTATTAAGTAATGTTTTCTAAGAAGGCAGGTTAGAGCCAAAATTCCCTTGAGGAGGAAGTGGGTGTGCTGGGGTTGGGGGATGATGGAAGTATCCACCATAGCCCCTCTGATAGCCTGGGAAGACAGTTAATTCTAGATCAGCATTGATTCTGGCAGTCCACAGATGAAGGCTGCTTTCAAATGTGGCCCATGCCAGGCCCTGCATAGCCTTGGAGCCTTTCACACGTGTGAAGAGTTTTAAAAGGGACAAAGACTATAGGAGAGACCTTAGGTCTGCTGACCCCATGTAGTCTCTCAGGCGCTGTGTCTCTTTATGGCTGACCCCAGTGTCTGGGCCTGCAGACTCATCCTGCCTTGGGCCTCTTCCTGGGCCAGAATCTGGTCCTCAGGCATTGGTCAGACAATTGCTTGACTTTCATCTCCATTGGCAATGGGGATATTCCACCCTCATCTTCTGGGCCTGGCCATTTTTGCTGAAGTGTCTGTTACCCATGGCTGCAACTTCTTACCACTTTTCCACACTGGCAGACTGCTTCCCACCATTGATATAGGCTGTGTCCCCATCTCTGCCATCTTCCAGGGGTCCAGGTTAGCTTTTATGGCTGAGATATAACTTGTTTCTATATAGTCCCCACTGTCCACCTGCCAGCTGGGCAGATGCTTATGTGGCCTGCTTTGGTGAGCCAGCCAGCCTGGCTTGATCAAAACCCCATCCCATACTCCAGGTTTCTTAGTACTGGTCATCTGGCTTAGCTTTAGCTGAGGTGAACCCCAGAGTCCGTTCTTCCGAGGAAGGAGTTGAGATCTCCCTAGCATTGGAGAGCTGTGTCCCACCACTGCAGTGGGTGCTGGACAGAGAACACGGGAGTCACTCTAGAAACTACCCTCCTCTCCTTTGTGGTGCTTGCACTGAGCCTGTTTCTGCTGCCCACAGAGGCTAAGCCTGGGAACACAGCATCCTGAGTCTAGATGTAGATCAAGTGGAGGCCATTGAGTTATAAAAGGAGTGTTTCACACGCGGTGCTCTGGGGATATGCAAGAACGTAGCCACCTCTAGTCTGTGCACAAACCTTGAGATGTGAAGGCTCTCTTTTGGCTGTGTGAGTAGCCTAGCCTACTCACTCTGTGAGTGCTTGGCTAGGACTGTAGAGTAGAGGTGTGGGTGAGATTCAGGAAGCTCCTGGTTTGCCTGCTCCATAGATTTGGCCTTTGTTGAATTCAATGGCTGGTGGTGGCAGCTGGTTAAGGGAAAAGTTGTGGGCTTCAAGAACCCTTGGGACATCAGATGTAAGATGCACAGGGCCACAGTCCTGCTAGGAAGGCCTTGGGCACAGGCTCAGCATGGGGAGATAGCTGTCCAGCATCTACTGTGTAGGGTCAGTGTATACATAGGGCAAAGGACATGAGAGGGACACACTCATGCTGAAGAGCCATGGAGTCACTAAGAATCTTCCTGGCAGGGGCCGGCAGTGTGTGCATTCCCACTGGTGGCACATGGGGTCGATTGCCTGGCACGTGAGTGACTGCGGCATTTCCACATGCCCAGCAGGAGGAGTGGGCAGTAGGCTGTGATGTGAGAACAGCAGGCTTTGGGTAAGCATCTCCCACGAGGCCCTGGCCCTGTGGGGCTTTGAGGCTTCGACATGATTCACATGGCTGTAGGAAGAGCACCATCTTTCTCAGAGAGCACAATTGGAGGGTGCTCCTGTAGAGGCCACCAGAGTCACCCACTTCACTTAGCTGACTGCAGAATAGTGGGCAGGCTTGTGGAGTCAGTAACGTGACAGAGCTGGTATGGTTGTTTTGGGATACACCCCCAGGACCCTTGAATGTCTCTTGAGTTCTGCTTCTCCCATCTCCCTTAGGAGCTGCTTTATGAGCTTGTCAGGGCTAGGGCCCCTGGTCTTCCAGCATTAGTGATGTTGGTGTGAGTAGAGTAGCAGATGGGTTTTCGTCTTGTTCCTTAGATTTGCTGATCAGTGGGAACTGCAGACTTGGCCACACAGGCTCCATCTTTGAGATCTTATTGACAGGAACTAAGGTTTTTAAGGAAACTGCTGAGATTTGCTGGCTCCTGAGGATGAGGCTTCATCCAAAGCACTGGAGCTGAGGAGGCCAGGCCTTGCAGGGTCAACATGAAGTCTTGGTGACTGGAGAACCCTGTGCAGAAAGCTGTCATGGTACACAAAACAGTCCAGCTGTGAGCTGAGTTCTTAGGCTGGAAGCAAACTTATATCACAAGGCAGATGTGTTGCCCATAGGCTGTCAATTGTAGATTTCCAGTAACCAGGGAAAGAGGTTTGTTAGGCTCCCTGAGATGGCTTGTAGCCACATTTCCCAGCAACACCTACCTTCCTATCACCACATCTCCAAGCCTATGGATTTGCGTGGGCCATAGGCAGCCCCAGAAGTTGCATGAGGAAGCACTGGAGGGTATGTCCAGTGTCCTCAACTTGGGGCACCTGCTGCTTTCCTTGTGACAGCTGAGCAGATGTCATGGTTCTGTGGGAAGAAGTCTCAAAGTGCTGGGAAAGGGGAACAACCCAAGGGCAATGGCAAAGGAAGAGCTGGAAGCAGTCTAACACAGAGGCCCATCACACAGTCCTGAAGGGAGCCTCCCAGGCACGTCTGACTCCAGGCAGCAAACAGAAGCCCTGTTGAGGTGAACTTTCCCTTGGCCACATGCAGGTGATCAGTAGCCAGAGCCCAGAAGTCAATCTCTCGTCAGAGCAGAGTCCCAGTTGTTTCTCAAGTACTACATAGGGTCTTTGTGGGAGGCCAAGATTAGGTGTTCCAGAGGCATCCGTGAAGCCAGCAGTGAGACTTGTGGGTACTCATGGCATCGGAGATAGCTGGTTACTTTATGGCACACCTAGCTTGGTGTGACCTTGTCTTGGGTGCATTGGCAAAGACCTGATTTTCTAAGTATGGCCTAGTTCATGGTCTCTGGGTAGACAAAGATTTGCAGAGGGTGGAGCCGCTCTTTAGCTAAGGGCAGCTGGGGAGGCTGGGTCCTTCTTTCATTCTACATAGCCTCCCTGAAGTACACTCCCTTTCAGGTAGGCACTCCTCCCAGAGAGCCTGGACAGGCATCAAGAGGGGCTAGAGCCATCACTGAGTCCCGTCACACTCAGGCACCAGGTGCTCCCACTGTTCCAAACTGTTCACCGCCTACCTCTGAGTGGATTTACCTCGCGCTGGCTAAAACCCAGGTCCCCAGCTGTTACAGCACATCCATGGCAGGTGCCCTTAGACAGGGGCTTGTGGGTCCAGATTCAATCTTTTTGACAATGGGCTTCCTCACCAGCTCTGTTGGGACACCCTGGTCTTGGGGAGCCCACAGTGGCCCGCTACTTCTGATAGGCCAGAGCTGAGTTTGGCTTTTGATGGGGGTGGTGGTGTTTACAATGTGACTACAGGACCCCTGGGAAGAAGAAGAATCTGCTAGAGTGTCCTTGCTACCTGATGTGGTGGAGGCATGGATTGCTGCAAAGAAAGCTGCTAGCCTGAGGTGGCTATGGTGGCAGCACCAGGGTACCTGTTCTGCCCTGAGGCTGACCCTGCTGCATTTAGACACTCCTGACCCCCATGTCGGCATCCAGGATTCTAGGTGCACACCAGGCTTCAGACTGTGTGCAGTAACCATTAGGGACCACCCCCAGCAGCCTCAGGAGGGACCTTCTCAGCCTTGGGGAATGATGCTTTTGGGTTGCGTTGTTGGGTCATAGGTCACACTCATCTCAGTGTTGGGGAGTCATGAGCAATCAGGGGTATACATCTGTGACAGGGCGTTTCACACTACTCCCTCCTGCTCCATTGTGAGGGGAGCTAAGCGCTGGGAGAGGAACGAAACTAGGTTCCCTGTTGCCTGGCTGTTCAGTGGCGGGAAGGTATACGCGATGTCCCTGGCCAGCCCCACACAAGAGGATTCACTGCATCTACAGCCAAGCAGGCACAGAAGAGTCATCAAGGATCCTGGCCGCTTCATCAGCATGTTGATGTGGACACATCAGGGGACTTACAAATAGGTCGAGGGAGTCACAGACAGAAGTCAAGCAGACTGGACAGACCAGAACCAACAGGGTACATCCTAGGGAGGGGCCCTTGGGTATGACCCCCAAATAGGGAAGACGACACAAGGCTCACAGTACACTCTGGACTTCACACGACTGTCACGAGGGGGTTTCTCTTCTACTGGGCAAGAGCATGGGGACAGACACTTCCCTTACCCTTCTTCTTCCGGACTGAGGCTTGCAAACAGAAAGGGAAGCGCGTGAGCCACCCACGGTGGCAGCGCCCTCCCATAGCGGCCCACACCCTGGGGTCTCCCTCAGCTCAGTGATTATGGAACACAGGTAGGGGAACTAGGGTGGAGACCACCAGGAGTGAGGGGCAGGGGTCCAGAGTGGCCCCACAACTTGTCCTTGGTTTCTCTTTTTTCCTTGCTCTGCCTGAACCTTCCTTGTGGTGTCAAAGGGGGCTTTATTTATCACTTTGCCCTCTGCAATCCCCCAGCACTCTACAGGTAGGACTGAGCTTCACAAGGAGGGACAGGAGGGCAGATCTGCCTTTAAAAGGGCATAGAGGCCCTGGGAGCTGGGGGCCCTGGGAGCTAAAGACCCTGGGGACTGGAGGCCCTGGGAGCTGGGGGCCCTGGGAGCTAGAGACCCTGGGGACTGGAGGCCCTGGGAGCTGGGGGCCCTGGGAGCTAAAGACCCTGGGGACTGGAGGCCCTGGGAGCTGGGGGCCCTGGGAGCTAGATACCCTGGGGACTGGAGGCCCTGGGAGCTGGGGGCCCTGGGAGCTGGGGGCCCTGGGAGCTGGGGGCCCTGGGAGCTGGGGGCCCTGGGAGCTAGAGACCCTGGGGACTGGAGGCCCTGGGAGCTGGGGGCCCTGGGAGCTAGAGGCAGCCCCCTTTGCACCGGCTCCTAAGGAACATGGCAGCAGCCCCTTCTGTAGGGCAGGTTGGCCTTGGCCCACTGTAAACAGTCATGGCGACACAATCCGAATGTTCCCAGTGGAATGTTTGAAAGTATATGACAGGGTCAGGGGCCCAGCTGGAAGGAGAAGATGGGGTATACTCCACTTTCTAGGTGGAGAAGTATTCTGGTGTCAGGGTACCCTCTTCTGACTGACAATTTGAGGTGAGCTTTAGATTCTAGCCCCAGGAAGGACAGCGTTTGGCATGAGCAAGGAGCTGGGAGCTGCTCCATGCTGGTGGGGACCTGTTGTTGCTTTAGTGACATCCTTGTAGGACCACCACTGAGAGCTACTCGCTTTGAACCTGAGTGGCTGCTTCCATGCCGGGGGGCTGCCCTCACCAGCACTACTCCTGCTCTTCGAGGAGCCAGTGCTTCCCTTACTGTCTGGCTCAGAGCCACCCACGCTGCAGAAGTCCCCTGGCTACCTGGTGACACCTGGGTGACACACAGGATGTGGTTTTTAGTTGTGTCAGTCTCTTTTCTGAATGGTTCCAAAGGCTGAGTCCCTATGCCCCATCTGCCTCCAAGGGGACAAATAGCTGAGTCTGTTTAGTGAGGACCTTTTAGAGTTCTGGCTGTGCTGAGACTCTCTGAGGAGTCCCCAAGGACAGCTGGAGGCCAGGCTGAGGTGGGGTCAGTGAGGGTGCCCAAGGCAGCAGGGATGCTGCTGCGGGCCAGCGAGGATGCTTACCTTTGTCCACTAGTGAGAGGCCCAAAAAGTCAAAACAAAACAATGTTAGATAAACAGAAGAGTCTATCAGCCCCACCCCTACAGATCTCACAGAATCCCACTAGAGATGCCAAGCCAAGTGTGAAGCTGTAGGGCATGCAGGGGGCAGGGACAAGCCAGCCAGCAGGAGGCCATGCATGGGTGGGGCGTCTCTGAGGGCAGCAAGGTGAGGTGGCCTTACCGAGTTCCTCAAGCTCCGCTGTCATGGACTTGGAACGCAGGGTAAGGGCCGTAGTTGGAGCCCTCTTTGGAGGTGGGGGAGCTTAATGGGTAAGCAAAGGCAGAGCAGTTATGAGAACCAACACAAGGCCCCACCCCATCCTAAACCTTACCCCATCATCCTAAACTCCACCCCATTCTATACCTCACCCCTTCTTATAACCTACCCCATCATCCTATACCCCACCCCATCATCCTAAACCTCGCCCCATCATCTTACACCCCACCCAATCATCCTATACCCCAGCCTATCCTACATCCCACTCCATTCCTATACCCTGTCCAGCGTCCCTTACTTTTGGACACAGGAAGAATCTTGGAGGCAGTGGCCCTTGAATCTACGTTTTGTGGAGCAGACTGACAGGTGGTTGTGGGGGATTGCCACAGTTGGTTGGGCTGCCATGATTAGCATCAGCTCTTGGTGCTCAGGATGGAATAGGGTAGGTGCTCTGTGATAGGGAGGGGAACTCAGGCTCTGTTTTGTCTCTGTGAATCTGACTGTAACAGGGCACAGGCAGTGGGATATATATGGCTTAGCCACTACCTGCTAGGCTGTCACGGCAGGGACATAGGCCTTGCTGTAGCTGGGGGAAAAGGCCTGTTGGTGTCCAGGAATTATCATCCCACCATGGCCTCGGCTGTTTCCAGCCCTCTCTTGCTGTTTAGTACACCCTGGTTCAGGCACCTCTACATCCTCTCCTAGCTGTCGCTGGTACATCTACACAGCTGCTTTTGGGGCAGCTGGCTAGAAGGGCTCCTTTATTCCCCATTTCTGCCCTACCGACAGGGTACAGGCATCTATCCTGTACTTGGTTCCCTTTGCTGGCCCAACTGTGGCTTCCCTTAAATGGTGACCCAGGCTCTATGTCACGGCCTTGGTCACAAACTTAAGCGATGCCCCATTTCCATGGCTCTCAACTGAAAAGAGGCCTGTTTCCCCTCTCTGTGGCCTGCCCCCTGCAGGGAACCTTGAGGGATACACACCTTTCTTTCTGGCAGTATCATCAGGGTCCAGATTCCTGGTCACCGTGACGACCTTAAGGATGAGGTGATTCCCTCCCTGGCGGATCATGTTCACCACCTGCCTGTGGCCCACCTTGACGACATTTTCATTGTTAACCTGCAGGAAGGGAGGCGTTATAGGTCACGTAAAAGGAGGCAGGGGTGGTGAGGCTGCCATCACCCCGTGGGAGACAGGAGGACTTTGGTCTTTATGGATGAAAACCTGCTTTGGGGAGGTCAGCATGTGCATTGCTGTGGCTGTAGGGGGCGCTGCACTGTGAGGAGTGGGGTGCCCCATCCAGCACCCTCTACCAGGTCTGGTGGATCCTACTTAATAGAAGTCTCAGGAGCTGTCCAGATCTCCTGGGCTGGGTGCAGCAGCAGCTCTACACTTTTACAGTGAAGCCGAAACTTGGCCTGAATTTCTCCTCCTGTGTTTTGACCCATTCATTGTCTCTGGGCTACGCACGTACACACAAACGCACGCGCGCGCACACACTGATATGGAAAAGCAGGGAAGAGGGAAGACTGCCCAGTGCTCCTGGGATAATGGAGGTGCACGCTTGGACACCAGTGCTGCCTCTGTGAGCATAACATCACGGTTAGGAGACTATGGGTTTTCAGAAAAAGGCCCTCTCTTCCCATCCGCAGGGAAGAAGCAGACACAAATTCAAGTAGAGATGGGGTTTGGTGTCAGTCAGTCTCTTTGTCAAGCTAAGTCCCAGAGCAGAACCCCCAGGCCTTGTTTTCAGAAGAAAGTGAGAACTATAGGAATGGTCAGGTTCAAAGCCAGGCATTGTGAACTTGCCTATCCCAGCACCATGCATTCCAAAGAAGCTCACCAGAGGCCAAATCTTGCCCAACAGTGTTGGACACCATTTTAGCTACTGAAATGTAAGAACTCTGGCACTTTCACACAAATTCCCGAATCTTAACTCTTACACGGTGATATGGGTGGGAACGCAGGAGCCCCAGGTGGGGCTTCACGTTCTGTTATTTGCTCAGGAGCCATCCAGCTTCCCTAACCTTCTCATCTGCATGGACTTGTGACTGTTGCCTTTGATGCTGTTTTCTTTCAGAGTTCTAGAAGGGGAAAGAATGGACCCTGCATATTTCTGCTATCAGGGTGTCCATGGGATATCCATGCAATCAGTTCTGAATCCAGCCCTGCACTGGGACTTTGGAGTTCAGCTTTCGATCATAGCTAGGATTGACACCAAGCATTGACCCATGCCCACATTCTGTAAAGGGAGTAAGTAAGTCATGAGGAGGAGACACATTGAGCTGGCACAGATGAGAGGCAGGCAGCTGTCCTGCTGACCGTCTTTCCGTGAGTCTACTGAACATAGGTGTGTGCCTATCAGACAGACTTGGATATGAGGGCTGACATGGGTAGCTGAGAGCCCTTCATTCGCCTTGGACCACGCTTGGGAAAAGTCAGTAGAATGTGCCCCAATTGTTAAAAAGCAGCTGAAGCCTGAAACATGCAGTCCTGGTGACACACACTTGTCATTAGACAAACTATGTGAAGGTACGGAAACTAAACACCAAGTTTCTCAAAGAAGCTGAGCAGGACCAAGGCTACGGGTATGGAGCTTATGGCTTCACTGGGTGTTCAGGGTTCCTTATGGCTTCAGGGACTCAGCAAACTTGCCAGGACCACAGTAACAACTGCCATGGCATAGACTACATCCCCAAACCATGTGCATAGATCTTACCTCAGGGGTGACTGGGGCCTTTGCGACTTATAATTAGGTACTTGTCTCATTGCTGTGGCAAAGCATCTGACCCAGACAACTTAAGGAAGGAAAGAAGGAAGGGTTTATTTGGCTCACAGTCACCGAGGCCCATCACGGTGAGTGAGTCACAGCGCTATGAGGCCCACGACATTCAGTCAGGAAGTGGAGAGATGAACACTGGTGCTCATCTTGTTTTATTCTTATTCAGTCCAGGACCCCAGCTTGTGGGACGGTGCCTCCCATCTTCAGGGTGGCCCATCCTTCCTCAATTACCCTTACCTAGAGACCCCCTCAGACACGCCTAGAGGAGTGTGTCTTCGCTGAATCTAGATCCTTGAGGCTGGCAGAACTAACACCAGAAGTGGTCAAGTCACAAGGGTGACTCATGAATTGACTGACACTTTCTAAAAAAAGGGCACTGGGGTCTCCCTGTGAGGGACCATCGAGGGCACAGTAGCCTGCAAGCTTTCAGTCTTCCAGCCTCCACAACAGGGAGAAGAGAACTTGCCTCCCTTTGCTGTGCATTTTATTACAGAACAGCAGCTGAACAGCCTTGGAAACAACCCAGTGATCAGCCGCGCTGGCCCACTCGGCCTAGAGCTGGCTAGCATCCTACACTTGAGGTCCTTAAGAATCAGTGCTCTACCTGCCACCCTCAGTTACACACAGGGCTCTGGGCCTCAGGTGGGAAAAGGACTGTCCCTGTCAGAAGCTTCCCTGGGAGTGACTGGTGATGGGTGAAGGGAAGCTGGAAGGCTGGAGAGGAGCTATGGTCCCCAAGTCCTGCAGAGGTGAGAGAGAAGTCCTGACGGAGCTTGCAAGGGCCACTGTTGCTACAGAGGGAATCCAGAGAGAAGGGGACAATGGGAAATACCATCCAGGGAAGGAGCAGGCCCTGAGGACAGGCCCTGTAGCTCCACTTCCCTCACTTTGCAAGGGTGTTATGGGAGCTTGGGCAACTTGTGGGCAGCTATATCATTCAAAAAATTCTCCTGACATTGATTCTCCTGACTAGTCTGTAAATACCCAGGGAAGGGTATGGCCTTGTGGTCCCCTCCCTCTGCCAACCCTTAATGGTCTATAAGGTCTTGAGGATTGGCAGAGAGTCATTAGCCCCTCTCCTCTCCCATGATGGAAAGCAAATGGGCCCAGCCTTGGGCAGCCTTTACATGGCTGCTGCCTGGTCCAGAGGGCAAGAACACATCACATCCTGTCCAGAGGACACAGGGATGTGGGGCCCTGAGCAGAGACTGTCTTTCCAGGTTCCTGTTCTGCATTGGCCTCCATTCTTCCTGAGGCTTCAGGGTGCTATGCTTCTTCCCTTCCCCACGATGGGGATGAGGAAACCTAGCTGTAGGAATGGGGCATGTGTGCTCATGCCACCACTACCCTCCACACTGGGGGGGCACTATTGGGCGTCGTGACACAGAGCACCCCCATCCCAGGCGGGGCTACAGAGTCACAAAGCCAGCGTTGACCTCCCCTAGGAGGGGAAGATGAATGTGGTGATATGTTATTTATGATTTACTAAAGTCTGCCTGAGGACTCAGAAAGCAAAGCCAGCCAGAGGTCAGGCAATAGTGGAACAAACCTTTAATCCTAGGACTCGGGATTGTGGGGCAGATGGATCTGAGTCCAAGACCACCCTGGGCTACCGGAGAGCAAATCAGAGCTCATGCCTTTAATTCCAGGACTCAGGAGAGGTATTTAAGACAGGAACAGGGTGTCAGAGCTGGCATCCATTCTCCAGCCACATTGAGGATAGGAAGACACTGAAGTCTCAGGATTCTCCAGCCATGCTGAGGAGATCATAGCAATCTGAGTAAATCTGAGGAGCAGTGGAGTTGGAAGCAGTTTGAGAATCACCCCTTTGGTTAGAGCTGAGGTAGAGGTAAGAGCTGGTGGCCAACTGCTTTGCTTTTCTGATCTTCAGGCAAGTTTTAATAAATCATAAATAATATATCATCACAAATGAAACACATCCCCCACCCCCCAGACAGAAAGACTGGTTTCTCCAGCTACAGGGACACCTGATATGGAGACATGGGTTTTGGTGTTTGTCCTACTGGGTTTCCAGTATCTCCCCATTATGCTCCATTTCTTCCCTCTGGAATGGTAATATATATTCTGCATCATTATGTGTTGGAAGTATACGATTTGTTTTTTGATTTTACAGGGGTTACAGTTAAGAGATTGCCTTGAGTCTCAGAAGAGGTTTTGGACTTTTCAACAGTATCAAGACTATGAAAGACCATAATGACTTTTTGAAGTTGGATTAAATAAGTGCATTTTGCATTATGGTATGGCCATGAGCCTATATGGGGTCAGGCAGGGGAATGTGGTGGTTTGAATGAGAAATGCCTTTCAGAAATTTGGGCATTTGAATACTTGGTTTCTAGCTGGTGCCACTGCTTGGGGAAGTTTGGGTGGTGCAGTGTGGCTCGAGGAAGTATGTCACTGGGGTGAGCTTTGAGACTATACAGCCTCACCCCACTTCCAGTTTGCTTTCTGTCTAATGCTTGTGGTTAAAGATGCTAGCTCTTAGCTTTCCACTCCTGCCATTTACCCAGCTGCTGGCTGCCATATTTCCTGCCATGGTGGACTCTTAACTCTTGGACGCAGTAAGCCAAAATAAACTTCCACAAGTTGCTTCTGGCTATGGCACTTTACATGAAAAGTAACTACTACTGACATGGTTGTACCTGAAATGGAGGAACACTAATCTTGTGCCTTCCCCCACACTATGTCTTCATCCTTCCTCCTCTCTCTTCCTGCAGTTATACAGAACTAAAATACTCTCCCTGGTTTGTTAAATCAAAAACAAAAGCAAAAAAAAAAAAAAAAATTAAACTGCATGGATTCTGCGCCAATTTTCACATATTACACAACACAATGTCATGGTGCCTAGGGAAGGGCACATGGACCTTTCATACAGGGACTCCTCACCAAGACTAGCTTCCAAAGATGAGCCATGGGTCATGGAGTGATTAAACCAAGCTACATGGCATCCAGTTGTTTTGTGAAGAAAAGGGTCTTATACTATCTGTCCTTCACACGAATTCTGGTCTTCCATCTGAATGTTCCTTAAATGTCAGAGCGGTGTGTGCGAACGGTGGACAGACACAGTCTGAGAAGACTTTCTGCTCAGTGCCCACTCCTCACTCCAGGCCTTTAGCAAATTCTGCCCATATTGTTGACTCTCTTGGCTGTTTATCATGAATTTACATTTTAGCTTTCATCTGCCAAAGGCCACTCTGGAGATGATGTGTCCAAAGAATCTTGGCAGTGGGTATCTTTTTTTTCTTCTTGCCCTCCCTTTGTGCTTCTAAATCTCAGGATGTATTTACATCAACATTTTAACAAGACCAACACTCACTAT